GTCCAGGTCTCTGCTCAGCTGCTGGCCTCCTCCCTCTCTCCGGCACCTCCCCTGGCCTCGTCCTCCTGGCTGCGAGGGCACGGGCAGTCTGGCTGTGATCACGGACAATGGCTGCTCTCGGGACGCGGCTCGCTACATCGGGCACTGCACTGTCACTCTAGCCACGCTGCCGCTCCCGGAGGTCTGCGTTTGCGTTTCTCCCTCCTCTGCTGGTTTAACCGTGGCCAGTCCACGTTTGGTCCTCACTGCAGCTGCCTGGCCTCACTCCTCCCGGCTGTCCAGGGATTCCCAGCCCCGTCTTCGTCTCGTCTTCTGCCCGTGGGGAGGGGTCTCAGCATGTCCTCGCCCCCGTCTCCGTCTGCTCTCTGCGTGTGTGGGCAGAGTTCTAGGTCCTGACGCAGACTGGGCGTTTCTTTAGTCTTCTTCTTTCTCTGTGACTGTCTGCTCGGTGCTTGGGCCTCTTCTTCCTTGACTATGGCCTCCGACGGTGACCTTGGCTGACAGTGACCTTGGCTGATGGTGTGTGTTCCACCTCAGAGGCCTGAGGTGAGGACTGTCACCTGCGTGGTCTGTGGCTCGGGTATTGCCATGGCATTTAGGTCAAGTAATTCAAGGGTTAAAAGCACTGCTGGCCGTAGGGGCTAGGACCCCATAGCGAGCAGCAAGCAGCAGCGGCTAAAGTCTCTTGTCCCCAGCGGCTGAGTCACAGCCATTCTGATTCATAGGACAATCATGTAGTATTGACAAAAACAATAGAAAATTGAAACTTATTTCTCTCCAGGTAAACATCACATTTTCTCTCCCTTTTTCTCACTCTCCTAGCGCAAACTTCTAGAACATAAAGGCCAAAAAATCTCTTTTTTTTTAAAAGCTTTTTTTTTTTATGTGATGCTGAGGATCGAACTCAGGTTCTGTCCATGCTAGGCAAGCACTCTACCACTGAGCAACAATCCTAGCCCCCAAAAAATCTTTTATAAAGATTTATAAAAACAATTTTAAAAAGTCCACAAAAGCACGCTTTCCATGGAGAGGACTCAACTCAACAACACAGCCCATCAATCATCTTAATAACTTTATTTATTTAGAGTCTCTACAATTATACCCCAATATTAAAAATTTTAATGTCACAGATTTTCCTTTTGTCTAATTCACTTACTTTCTACAATTCTGCCCACAACACTCTGCAATCCTAAAATGCTTAACTTCTGGAGAGAACTTTCCACGTCACTAACTTTCTTTAATATTTAAATTGGAGTCCCCTTAGGAGCCAGCATTTGTCACTTTTGTCCCGGAGGCAGACGCAGACCTTCCGCCCCACGTTGGGCGCCAATTGACGGGTTTCTGTTCTCGCGACTAAAAGGCTCAGGGGTCACTCTAGTTAAACTGGGCTAACTGGGCTGCGCAAAATAACGACACAAGAGACACAAATACCTTTTTCTTTGGGGTCGCTGTGACGGCTCCTCTGACCATAAGGGTCCGCAGGAAGAGAGAGAGCGAGAGCAGGCACTGACCCCTTTTATTGAGGAGAAGCTATTCAAATGAGGCAGGGGGTCAGGTTTCAGGGGGCTGAGTCTATCTTCATGATGTCCACTGTCAGCAGGTTGACTGACACCTGGGTAGGCCACACCCAAGGGCACAGTAAGAGAAGGGGACACACACAAGGCACTTCCATGGGAGATTCTCCCCTAAACAGGGCAAGGGGTTAGATTACAAAGGAACAGGTGAGCGTAGCTCCACCCACGGGGCTGTAGCAAGACACACCCATTTCTGTGACTGAGCACCTCAGCACCCAGCTGGGGAGTGTAACTCAGTCACCCGTAAGGCTGGCCTCCCACAGTCTGTGGCTCGGGTATGGCAGGCTCGGAACACGGTTCTTCACCTTCCGTGCCTGAGTGCTATCCCGTGTCTCCTGAGTTCTGGGAGGTGCCCTCTGAGTTTACTTGCCCTCCCGGCCTGAGTGGCCCCCTGTGGGCGCATCCTCGCGCCCTGTTCTGGGGGCCCTGCCCTGCGCTCACTCGCTCGCCCTCATGTTGGACACGTCCTCAGCTTCCCTTCTCTGTCTCCTCCTCTGGGAGGAGTCCCCCTGGGACTGTCCCTCCCTAGCGGTGGCCTTCCTATCATTCTGTGTCAGTGATGGAGGGGCCACGTGGTTCCCCGGCAACTGTCTGCCAGCCCCCGTCCTTGGCCTGTCCACAGCACTGCTGGGCTCTGCCCTTCTCCATGAGTAGAAACCCCTCAGGACGCTAGCTGTTGGGCCACGAGCCTGGCGTCTGGTCCAGGGATGGGTAGGTGCCCCTGGAGCAGGACAGGGGTGAGGCCCTGGGCAGCAAAGGCCTGGCCYGCAAGACTCTGCCCATCTTGTTGGCTGCTCTTCAGAGCCAGCTGACGCTGTTGGGCCCAGTGCCATGGGGACCAAAAGTGGGTACTAGAGTGACATGCCCAGATCTGCAGCTGGGTTGGTGGCCTCCAGACGCCAGGTCCAGTGAGCGCCAGCTGCTGGTGGTCAGTGCAGAAGCCACAGGACTCTCTGTGAGGGTGGCAGCCCATGGCCTCATGTGCCCCCCCAAGAACTGGGGGGCCTCAGCGGCCTCTCCACGAGAACGAGGGTCGCTGGGGTGCAGCTCAGTGGAAGAGCGCTTGCCTGGCTCTCCTAAGGCCCTGGGTTCCAATCCAGAGACTGGGAGATGGTAAGCACCCCTGGGAGAGACCAGGCCCTCCACCCCCAAGCCCTGACCCTAATCCTAACCCTAACCCTAACCCCTGGGAGAGACCAGGCCCTCCACCCCCAAGCCCTGACCCTAATCCTAACCCTAACCCTAATCCTAATCCTAACCCTAACCCTAACCCCTGGGAGAGACCAGGCCCTCCACGGCCACCCCAGCCCTGACCCTAATCATGGTCGATTCCCATGCTTATCATTCCATATTTTTTGTATAGATGTGAAAATCTGTGAGCTGTAGATAAAAACTCAATACACCCATGTGCATTTTGTTCTCCTAAACATGGGGCCACTGTGTCCTGCGACCAACCTTCATGGCCGAGTGGTGTCTTGGGAAGGTCTGAAGGTGAAGCTGCCCTCGCGCTGCCCGCTGTGGGCCGTGATCTGTGCAGCAGGTATCCTGAGTGGACAGTAGGTCCTTTCTCAGTTGTTAGTCTTTTAAAATTTTTGTGGTGCTAGGGATTGAGCCCAAGCCCAAGCTACGCCCAGCCCTTTCCAGGGGTCTCGCTGGGTTGCCCAGGCTGGCCTTGAACTCGTTGTGGTGCGCCTGCCTCGGCCTCCTGAGTGGTCAGTTTTTGTGGTGGAAGCCACGAGGCAATGCAGGACACTACAACTTGGTCTCTGTGGCCAAGGACGATTTTCCTGGTGATACTTTCTGGAAGCGAGATTTTTAGGTAAACTGCACATCACACCACAGTATCGTTTAAATCTGCAAACCCTGTGGGTAAGGTCATCTCGCGTCCTTGGCGCTTCGAGGCTAACTGCAGTGCGAGTGGTGGCCGTTAAGGTTCTGGGGTGCTGTGTGTCTTGGGTGCCTGTTGATGGATGGGCCTCCTGAGCTTTGCCCTGTGCTTGAGTTGAGGTGCCCGCCGTCCATGCTTGGTGGGCCTTATAGAGGGGTTTTAAGGTGCCAGCACACAGCACCCCCTGTCCTCGGGTCACAGACGGGCTGTAGACGGGCAAGGCCACAGTGGGTCAGCTGCCGTTTCCCATGGTGACCACCCCTGAGGGGGGCCAGGCGGGCTAGTGACCCCACCACCCCCCAGAGGCCTGCAGTGGGGTTGTCGGGTCGGGGAGGGAAGTGGGGCTCTCGGGGGGGTGTGGCTGAGGCAGCTTCCGGAGCCAGCCAGCCCCCAGGCCAGAGTGAGAGGGAACGGAGCCTCGGCTCAGGAGAAGGTCTTGGGGACAGAGGTCTGTTCCAGGTCAGAAGCTGGGCCTGGCTTCAGAGGTGAGGTGGGTGATGCTGACCTGGGCTTTAGTCCTGGGCCGCAGCTGGACAGAGCCAGAGAGACGCAACTCTGGGGCAGCCATCCATGCAAAGGGGGTCCAGAGCTCACGTGTCAACAGTGAGAGAGGGTGGACCGGCTGGTGTCCACAGTCCTCGGCAGCCCTGTCATCCAACTACATTACATCCGGGGCCCCTGCCGGTGTCCAGGGGCTCTGCGTGGCAGATGGGATGCTGAGAGGCCTGGTGACTTGTGCTCCTGAGACTCTGCTGGGTGTCTCCACGCTCAGCCCCTCGTGGGCTGTCCCCTGGAGGGCCTCGGGGTGGCTCAGGGAGAGCCATGGGCGGGTGGGGGTGCTGTCCTGGGCAGCTCGTGAGGGAGGTGGATCCTGTGGGTTGGGCGCCTGTGGTTGCCCTGTTTGACGGGTGCACAGAACAGGGCCAGCCGGGGCCAGCTGCCTTCCTCTGTGCCCCTCTTACTCTGTGGTGGGCCAGGGAAAGCCTGTGAGGTGTGGTTGGGGCAGGTGGGCCAGTGGGCATGGGTGGAGGCACGTGTGGGCAGGCTTGGCTCCTGTCCCAGAGGCAGTGATGGCGGCTGGCTGGGGACCTGGCGCTCCCACGTGCCAGTCTCCCTACCCACCAATGGGAAATGAGGGCTCCTGTCTGCGAGTGCCACCCTGGGAGCCGCTGGCCGGGGGCCAGGAATGCTGACCTCCTGAGCAGGGAGGCTGCATGCGGCTGAGGCCCTGCCCACTGAGCCACGGCTTCTCGGGCGTCTGGGCTGCGGGCTCCATCCCTTCTCTCACTGAGGACTCACACACAGACACTCTCGCTGAGGCCCGGGGGTTCGCGGCAGCCAGCCCCTTCCCTTCCTCGGCTCTGAGCAAATGAACAGCAGTTGGGAAGGGAGAAAACCGACACTTTATTCCTGCAGCCTGGGTGGGAGGACCTCCCCTGCCCCCTTTGCCAGGCTGCAGGAGCTCTGGACCTGCCACACACCTGAGTCCATCCTAGGCTGCGGCAGGGAAAGGTAGTGGGGGCAGGACGGCCCAGTGTGTCCCTGGTGGCAGCACCATCAGAGCCCCCTGAGGGCCTGGGAGGTGGGCAGGGAGGCTTCCTGGACCAGGTGCCCCATCCGCTGGGAAGTGCCCAGGAACCTGGTCCCTGTGTGTGGACCTGGGCCAGCAGGTCAGCAGGGCCTCTGCAAGCTCTGCTGAGGCAGGGCCGGAAGGACAGCGGGCAGAGGGGCACCGAGGGCCTGGTGGGCTCAGTGGTACTGGTTGGGGGTGGACAGGGTATTGCGGCGGCTGTAGCACATGTCCTCATACACCACGCTGGACGGGCTCTTCTTCCTCGAGGTGCACATTCCCTTAATCTGAAAGGTGGCCCACTGTTACCCAGGTGGGGGCTGGCCTGCTGTCAGCCCCAGGGAGCCCCCTCCAAGGTCCCCTCCCACGCTCACACCCAGGAGCAGCTTTCTCACAGCCCGGCTCAGTCACCCAGGTGCGGGGGAGTCTGCCTGGGGAGGCCCACACTGCAGACAAGGCCAGGGGATCCTGCCCACCCTCTCTGCCCACGTGGGAGGGGCCAGCTCACAGGCCAGACCCGGAGCTCACACTGACCTGCGTCCTTCTCAGCGTGCACAGCACCCCCAGGCCCAGCCCCATGAGGAAGAAGCCCACCGCCAGGGCAGCGGGGAGGGCGCGGGACGTCAGTGGAGGGTCCTGGCATCCGTGCAGGGACAGTGTGTCTGGGAAGAACAAAGAGGCCCTTGGCTTCAGGGGAGGAGGGGCTGTGGAGCTGCAGAGGGAGGGCGATCCCCAGGCTGCCTGGGGAGCCAGGCTCCAGAGAGCGCGGAGGGCAGGAGCCGGCACGTTCCCCACCTGTCACCGCGACCATGGTGCCGGGGCCTGGGACGTGGCTATCCGGGAAGTCCTGGACTGCCTCGCAGGTGTAGGTGCCCGAGTCGGCCTTCCGCAGGTGGTGCATGGTGATGGTCAGGTTGTTCTGAGGCCCCGAGAAGCTGACTCGGCCCTGGAACCGCAGGTCCACAGTGGAGGTCCTGCTCTCCTCGTCCTCATAGTAGACCACGTATGCGGCCTGGGGCCAGCTTTGCTTCAGGTAGAGCCCTTTCAGGGTCCCGTTGGTGGAGCAGGTGATGCTGACCGAGCCCCCCTCTGGGATGGTCGCGTAGCGGGGAGACTGCTGCACCTCTACCAAGAGCCTGCTGTCACCACGGGCTGGGCAGAGGCGCAGAGCACAGCCTCTTTGCAGGGACAATGGCAGGGAGGCCTGGAGGCCCTCAGCACCACAACGCCATGGGGTCTGGGGCAGCTCTGGGGGCCAGCACCAGGGGCTGTGGGGCCCCTGGGGCCAGGCTGCCCGCAGCCTCTCCCTCCACACCCGGCACTGGGGGAGGCTGTCGAGGGGCTTCCTTCCTGCAGCTACGCCGCCCCGCCGCCCGCGCTGGCTCCACGTTTCTCCTGAGTCCCACCGACACAGCTGGAGGCCACTGTCCTCTCTCCCCTGAACCTTCTCTTCAACGCTGGCTGCCTCGGTTTCCCCCACCACTCGCAGCACCAGAGCCCGTGGCTCTGTGGAGGGAGCACATTCCGGCTGGTCCATGGGACCTTCAGAGACCAGCCTGTCTGACCGGCCCAGGCCCAGTGGCGCCCAGCTTCCCCGTGGAGACACAAACCATTCACCGTACCCTAGACCTGGCTGCCCAGAAAACCCGGAGCTGTGCTGCGTGTTTGCACGAGGTGGTGCCCGCCAACCCGGCTCCCACAGCCGCACGTGTGCACGACGGCAAGGCTCCCCCACGGTCTTCTTTAGAGGGACACCAGGGACAAAGTCCTCCTGGTGACAAAGGCTGCACTGCTGATTGCAGAGAAGCAAGTCCCTGGCACTACCTCAGGGAAAACAGAAAATCCTACGATCCTGCTGCCCAGACCTCCGCCCTGGCTACGACCCTGTTCCTGACATGGGCCCTCAGTGGTCCTGGAGGGGCCAGGGAGGGGCGGGAAAGGAGGGGCGGGAAGGCACTCACCCAGGGCAGCCAGGGTCCCAGACAGGGCGCTAGCCAGCAGGAGCAGCAGAGCCATGCTGCCTCAGCCCCCTGGCCAATCAGCACTGCGCCTGGCCCAGGCCTCCTCGCTGCTGGGGAGGCCCGGCCAGAGACGTCTCAAGCACAGCTCTGGGGAACCTGGCGCAGGAGGCACCTCGGCTCAGCAGTGGTGACCGGCTGGGGCGCTCAGGGGTGGTTCCTGGGAGGAGGCAGGAGCTGCCACAGAAGGGCGGAGCCTCCCCTCACCCCTCCCACAGCTCCTGGCCAGCCTCGTGGCCGCCTCCCAGAACTTCTGCCCCCCCCCCCACACACACCTGGCGGGGAAAGAGAAGGGCCAGGCTCTGGGGCTGGGAAAGATAGGGGCCCCCAGGAGGGGCTGGGAGTTGGGAGCTGCATGCATGAGGCACTGGGATCGATCCTCAGCACTAGATAGAAATAAATAAAGATATTGTGTCCATCTACAAATACATATATATAAGAAATCCTGGTTTCTGTCCATATGTTGGAGGAAAACACCCAAACTACTGCTGTGGTTGGGATGGGAGATGCTCCCTGAAGGCACCTGTGCTCACCGCTGTGCGGATCTTCAGAGGTGAAGTGGCTTCCTCAGTCCATCCAGCTGGGACGGGCTGGCTGGTGGTGGCTGTGCAGGTGGGCGTGGAGGCCAGGCCTGGAGGAGTGTGGCTGGAAGGGTGCATCCTCCTGCAGTACCTTCTCGCCCCTGCCCCTCTCTGCTTCATGAGCTGAGCAGATTCCCTCTGTCACACCTTTCTGCCATGATGTTCTGCCTCACCTGGGCCCAGAGCCACACTTGGCCAGTCAAGGACTAACCCTCTGAAACCGTGGGCCCTAAGTGGTTCTCTGTGGGTACTTTGGTCACAGCCATGAAAAACTGACTAACACAGAAACTAGTACTGAGAGGTGGGCCGTTGGTGTGACCAGCCGGCACGCGTGGTTCAGAAAGCCTCTGGAGCTGTTCGGCAGGAGGAGCTTGGGAAAGGTTGGAGATGCAGGCTGGAGAACCTTAGAAAGTCCTAATGGAGCTTAATGGGGGACCCCGTGGGAGCTCAGAAGACCATATTTTAAAACGATGTGCTGATGGACCTGGTGGAGGAGATGTCAAGGCAGCACAGTATTCACTCAGTGGCATGGATTTTGCTGTCGGCTTTTAGTCATATTTACTGTGAGACATCAGGATCAAAAAGCAGAGAAGGAAGATTTTATTCATTTTTATTTTCTTCAGGTGCTGAAAGGAGGATTTCAAAAACTTGCTGTTGGGCCAAAAAAGGGCATGTAAAACTGGGGCCAAAGAAGGTGCGATTGTTCCATCACAGCCGCTGAGGAGGTGCTGAGTACTTTGTACACAGACACTGGGAAAGATGGCTTGAGGGCATCTGAGGAATTTGCAAGAGCCCACCCACTGCAGGGTCAGGGGTGAGAGAGTGAAAGCTACTTCAAGAGAAAATGGGACCTTCTACTTGCACAGGGGTGCCCAGAGAATCGTTTCCCCAGGATTCGTTTCACTATGCTCACTACCCAAGCACTGGTAGACCCTGGCATCTCCCACATGGTTCTGGTTCTGCAGGAACGCAGGATGCTGGAGTTCAGGGGTCGAGGAGCACTCAAAGGAAGACCTGGGAGGCCAGGCAAAGTGTAGCAGGGTCAGAATCTCCGCGGGCTGCCCGAGTGGGCGACGCATGAAACTGAAGGTGGAGCCGAAGCTGGAATGGAAACCCTAGGAACTAAGCGATGCTAGTAATGTGGACTGTCTGCCACAGAACCTGCTGGCTGTGGAGAGAGCCAGGCTAAGAGGGGTCATGAGGGCCACAACCGCTAGGGCCAAAGAGGTGGGGCAGCCCCACTCCTGCAGAGCACGTCCTGCAGCCACGTGTCCTAGATGCTGTACAAGGAGTCTGCCCAGATGGGTTCAGTCTTGTTTTGGTCTCATCTCTTCTTTCTGCACCCTTATAACTGCGATTTGGAATGGGAATGTGTACTCTGTGCCACTCCATATCGCATACACGTAACTTGCTTTTGATAAGTGCTCAAAGCCAAGAATTTATCTTGAGTCTCCGATGAGATTTTGGACTTGGACTTTTGGGCAAAGCTCTGCTGGGACTAGGGGACTCTTGGAGAAGGACTAAATGCATTTTGCACTGTGAGATGGACATGAGCTTTTGAGGCCAGAGATGGAATGTTGTGGTTTGGATGTGAGGTGTCCCCTCAAACCTCCTACATAAACACAGAAATATTCAGAGGAGAAATGATGAGATCGTGAGAGCTGTGACCTGACCAGTCCATCCTAGTTTGAATGGACCAGGTGGGAGGTAGCCGTGGGCAGGTGGGATGTGGCTGGAGGAGGTGGGTCCCAGGTGTGCCTGAGGGGTGCATCTTCTCTGCAGTACCTTCTCGCCCCCCTCCTTTCTCCGCTTCCTGGCTGCCATGAGCTGAGCAGCTTCCCTGGTCACATCCTTCCACCATGGTGTTCTGCCGGGGTCCTGCCCTAGCGGGGTCCAGGGAGTCCTGAAGGATGAGTGGCGTCGATGAGACAGGAGTCGTTCCGTTGGAGCAATCTCCAGAGCTAATGCAGCTTTCTCTGGGTCATCTTTTATTACAATTTTTCTCATCATTATGGATTCAGAATACGTCATTGATTATATAATTTAAAACTTTGCCAAGACATGACATTTCCTTAATCATGATTGGGGGGACAAAAAATGTGACATTAATTTACATTTTTCCAGGATATGACCTTTAGTTATGTAATTATTAAAAGTACAGAATCATTAATAAAATACGTCACTAATTTACATTTTTCAGATTTTCCCAAGTTTTACTATTTCTCCCAAGATATGTTATTTTCTTATTAATTAATGCCAAACTACGTAACCAGACTCTAAATCTCCTAACCAATCATTAACCTAAAGTACACTTGTACTTTATTTCTAATCTAAAATTCCCATCTAAAAAAGTCCCCTTAAATCTTGTATTTAAAACATCCTAAAGTTTATAAATCATTCTTAAAACATATCAGAAACCTATACAACTAAAAAGTTAAGAATTTCTAAACTTAAGAATCTAAATAAAATAATATTTCTAACATTATTCTAAAACGGTGTCTTATAAAGCTGTTTTAATTAATTCCTAAATTTATTCTCATAAAACTGTTTGAGCTGCTTTCTCAAAGAGTTTCTTTGTTTCTCAGTCAAGGTGCACTATTTCTCATATCTTTATAATCTTTCTCAATAGAAAGATCAATCCACTTTCCACCAATATTAACTATGCTCATCATATATCCCTATGTAAAGTAAGAAAGGGATTATAAAAAGAGAAGAATATATCTTTATATGTTTTAACTTTCCTAAGTGTATAATATAACTTTCCTTAATCAAAAATGAAACTGCATGTGGTGAACTTTGTGAAATAAGCATCCTGATTAGGTTTTCTAAGAGGCCGGAAATATGGGCTTGGGTTCTAGTTGATATGATCAATGTGGTGCCTAAAATTCTCATGACCTTTCAGAGGATGATTGTTGTCCACAATGTACTGAGATAGAAGCACAGCCTTCTGCTTTGTCCTTGATGTGCTGAGGGGTAGAATAGCCTCCAAGGCATGAACTACCTGTTAGGTTCTAGCCATCTGAAATTTAATTTGTTTGGCATTTAACATACTCATGCCTCCCGTCAGGAACATCAGCATGAAAATGCAAAGTCCCAATGACATAAAAAAGGGTCTCATGGTTTCGGTTTCCCACCGACCAGCGTGGCTTGGCCAGCATTCATCCTCACTGTGACCCTGTCCAGACAGTGGGAGAGCGCCTTCGCCAGTGTTCTGTCTCGCTTGGGTCTAGAGCCATGGACTTGGCTGACCGCAGACTAAACCCCTGAAACTGTGAGCCAGAATGAACTCGTCCTCCTCCAGGTGGCTCTTGTCCGGTACCTGGGTGACAGCAAGGTAACCTGACTAACCCAGTTGCAATTGCAATCAAGAAAATGCGTGCACATGTGAGCCCAAGAAGAAAAGTGGGGTGTGGTGGTTGGGATGGGCCTGAGTGGGGAGCCAGGGGATCCCCCAGGAGAGGTCTGGGGTGTGAGGGGCCTGTCTGTCCTGCCGGGGGAAGCAGCTCCCTCCAGCCAGCACCTGTTATGCTCCCACTTTCTTTCCCTGAGGGCCTCTGCGGCTGGGTTGCGTCGCCCCCTGGTGGTGGGCATGGGGTGATGCGTCATTTCAGACCTGGAGCCCCCCATCTTGGTCCTGGGGCCCCTGGCAGCAGGGTCCACAAAACTTGTTTCTGTTCTTGGTCAAGACAGGCGTGTGCCCACGGTCCACTTAAGCCGAGGCTGGAGGTCCCCTGGCTTGCTCTGGGGTCTCTCAGGGAGTGGGGAGCCCCTGGAGCACAGGGGCTCAGCAGCAGGAGAGGAGCCAGGGCCCCCTTGATAAGCAGCAGAGGCAGGGCAGATCCTGTCAATCAGAGGCTGTGAATTTGAGATTTTCCATGTTTGGACAGAGGTGAGGCAGCTCTCCCTGTCCTGGTGTGAGTGATGGACAGAAACCCAGGCAGGATGCTGCCCAGCTTCCAGGGGCTTCCCCAGTGAGCTGGTGCACAGAGCCCGAGAGATCCACCACCTACATCCAGGCACAGGAGCAGGCTCTCCTGTGCCCAGCAAAAGCTCTCAGGATCCTCCTTTGCCCAGCCAAGAAGATGGTGACAGCTCCATGGGCCTTGGGATGCCGGGAGATATGGGCTTGCAAGGGCTGCGGGTGCAGGGAAGTTGGCACCCTGGGTCAGCCTCACTGTGGGTGTGTGGGGTTGGGATCCACACTCCAGGTAGACTCTGATCCCACTGGACTCTGGTTCACAGGGCTCAGAACCTCTGCAGCTGGGGAGAGAGGCAGAGTGAGGGCCTGGCCCAGACCCTGGTGCCATGCAGACACTCAGGTGTGCACAGGCACACTGCAGCCACACAGCGCTGCATCTGCAGGCATGCATGCCCCTGTACACACGTGCACATGTACACACACACACACACACACAGCCCAGGCTGGGTTCTGAGTCCAGCAGGGTTGAAGTCACTTCCTGCTGGGCTCAGAGAACAGGTCTGTCGGGGACACAGATTCCCAGGAGTCTTGAAAGAAGCAGGGAGACCACCCCATGCTGTTCTCCTGGGGACAAGTGAGGCCTTGGGGACAGAGGGGCCCCTCTGCGCCTGCACAGGTCAGGCCTATGGTTTGGCCTCAGCCAGCTGGGGTCTTAGGGAAATGCGGCCTGGGAACCCCACTGTGTCCCTGAGCCACAGGGGTGAGGACCGAGGGGCCCACTGCCCAGTACAGGCCGCAGGGAAACCTCCGCCCTGCCCTGGACCACATGGAGGCCTCTTACCTGCACCAACTTCAGAGAACGCCGGCGCCAACACCAGCCAAGGGAGCCTACCGCCAGGATCAAGAGAAGGACAGCAACCAGCGCCCCCACCATGGACTGGGGCGTGGCCTGGGACCTGGCTTGCAGCCTCTCAGAGCCTGGGACCTGGCTGGCAGTGCCTGGGAAGGACAGGTGGGCAGAGTCACCTCATCGCTGGTCACCCCACGCATCACTCACTGACTCACTGGCCACAGAGGTGTCCCCCCCGCCTCCTGCCTGCCCACCCCACCCTCCTGGGCAGGGACATCACTGGGATGAGGGAGGCTGGTAGGTGGCCCAGGGGCCCTGGGGTGGGCCAAGCACTGAGGAGCCAGGGGAGGGTGGTAGCTCAGGGACAGGGACGCAGCACCTACCCCAGGGCGGTGTGGACGGCCTCAGGCCTGCTGCCTCCTCCTGGTCTTGAGACTCTGCTGGGGAGACACTGTCAGGCTGGCACAGAGCCCTGATGTCCCTCTACCTCTGGGGCAGAGCGGGGGTAGGGCTCCCTGGGTCCCCTCCAGGGGCCAGATGACAGACACTGCCAGCTGGCTCAGGTGACAGGATGCATTAGACCAGTGGGGGGCATGGGGACCTTGGATCTTGTCGGGAAGGAAAGGATGAGGGGGGCAGTGGGTTTAGGCTGGGAGGGGCCTGAAGGGACGCACTCAGGACACCTGCGGGCCCTGTGAGGCCTGGGGGGCCCTGTGGTCCCTTCTATTTGTGGACAACTGAGGGAGCCGGTGGGGGAGGGAGGCAGGTGGGGGAAGGGAGCAGGTGCTGGGCGGGTGTGTCTGAGTGAGGACAATCCGGGGTGGTAGTGGTCTGAGGAGAATCTGCCCTTGTTATGGGGACCGGGTCCAGGGTGAAGCTGTGCAGCGGGCACGCTGGGCGCGGCAGGTTTGGAGAGGGTAGGACAGCGCACAGGAGCCGGGGCCAGGGACTCTTTTGCTTGCTGAGTCTGGCCAGGACTCAGGCCTGCGCCTGTGGGTCTGTGCCCCTGGACTCTGCCCTCTGCTCTGCTCCTCCTCCTTGGCCGCTGCCCCTCCCAGTGGGGAGCCCCCTGCTGCCCCCAGCCCCTCCCCATGCTCCGCCCCTGGCCCACCCTCCCGCTTGGCCCTGGCTCTGGCCCGCCCCGGGCCACCTCACCTGAGACGTTCAGATACGTGGCTCTGTTGGTTCTCTGGAGCCCTCGCAGATGCCACTCGTATTGTCCCGCGTGGATGTCCTGGGCGGCTGTGATCACCAGCTGGGCCTGGCCTCCGTGCACATGGAGTGTCCAGCCATCCTTGGAGAAGAGTCCCGGGGGCCGCTCCTTGAAGATGGTCACGGTCTTTCCGTGGGCACGCAGCCAGATGGAGATGCCGGAGAAGGCGTTGGAGATGTTGCAGGCCATCACTGCCCGCTGGCCCCTGGGCACGGACACCACGCCCTCTGTACAAGAGGGGCTGTCCCAGCCTGTGTGGAGGGGAGGGTCACACTGTGGGCAGGGCGGGGCCTGGGCGGGGCAGGGGTGGTGTCAGCGCCTCCAGGGACTCTACAGGTGACTCAGGCTAGGATAGGGTCCATCAAAGCCCACAGAGCTGGGGTGGCAGTCAGACACACACCGCAGGGAGGGAGGCCGTGTGCCAGGCGTGTGTGCCACCAGCTGGTCACTGGGCAGGAGGCAGCTGGTCAGTTAGATGTTCCTGCAGCTCCCTGCCCTGTGCAGTGCCACCAGGCGGAGGCACTTTGTGGTGCCACCACCCAGGGAGGTCTTTGTGGTGTTAGGGTCTCCAGCTGCACCTTCTGGGGGATCTGACCCAAATTCTGCTGTCCCCATTGGCTATCAGAGTGGCCAGGACACTGGTGCCTTGGTGGCCCTGGGGGCATTTCTCTGCACAGCCAACCTGGCTCTGGAGAGCTGCATGGGGACTCCCTGGGGACCCTGTGCACTGCACCTCCCCGTCTAGTGTTCTGTCTGCTTGTCTAAGGCCCAGTGATGCTGAGGCTGCTGACCAGGGTGCCTCAGGGACCTTGCTGGCAGGTCCTCGGTCCTGTGGAGCCTCTCGTCCCCTGGCCATGGCACCGGCCCCAACTCTCAGGGATCCTCTTTGCCTTGGAGCCTGGACGTGGTCTTGGGCACCCCTGATGCTCCGGCAGTGGCCAGCAGGCATTGCTGGGTGCCTGCCCTGCTGTCCTGGGTGCACGGGGCTTGCCCTTTCAAGACCCAGGGCCTCCCGCTGGCTTCTCACCCATGGGCCTGGGTCTGCAGGGTCACAGTCGTCACTGGGGTGGGTCAGTTCTGGGCCTGACCTTGGTCTGCCCTTCCCACCCCTGTGTCCCCAGCCCTTCTGTGGCAGAGGGGCAGCGTCCCGATACCTACTTGAGTTCTGAGCACTCAGGGAGGCGACCAGCAGCAGGAGGACCCCGAGCATGCTGGGAACGCAGGGCTGGGGGATGCRTCTGGGGGACGCAGAGGGCCAGGTCCGCATGGCTGGCTGATGGGGAGGCCTCAGGGGTCCCTGGTCCTGGATACCGGTTTCTGGGACACTCCCTGTGGAAGGGAGGGAGGGAGACCCGGGGGTCAGAGGTCCCCAGGTGGTCCCAGGCTGCAGGGAGCGGCCTCCACCTGGCCAGGGGCTGGGCAGCCCAGGGGCCAAGCTTCCCCTGGACGAGCTGTGCCCTCCATGCTTGAGCCTCCTCCCAGTGCCTGGGTCCCCAGCAGCCACCCTCCTTCCTGTCCCTGTGCTTCATGACGTGCGAGGCCCTGGCCACAGGAACCCAGGGAATCACAGGAAGACAGGAGAACGTCTGTCCCCTGGACAGCGGAGCTGGGTGGTCCCCTGCAGCTGGCCTGGAATTGCTGCACTCAGAGGGACCACCCACCTGTGTGTCCTAGAGGGATGGCCGAGCCACAGCTGCTGGCGGGGGCTGCCCTGAGAGCTCCTCGTGGTCTGCAGGGCACCCTGAGTCCCCAGGTCCTTCTGCCTCTGCTCCCGGGAGGAGGCAGGGTGCTCCCCGACTGCTGCCCAGTGCCCTTGGGATTTGGGCCCCAGTCAGGGCTGTCCTCCAGCTGGCCTGCCGCCCACCACG